CTACATGTGAGATAAAATAGTATTTCCGAAGTAGGCATTTAGTGAGTTATTCATTTGTGAGTGCTGGAATGAAACGACGTGTGTATTGTGTTGTCAGGTGACCAGCAAAGTTAGAATTCTAAGATATCAAAGTCTGAGTACTATTCTGTAAAATGTAGGGGGACAGATTTCGTGCTGTTTACAGTAATTTCGATTTTTGCAGGGGAGAAACTTCCAGGGTGCATGAACCATTTCGCTTTCGCTTGTACACCCACCACGGCGCTTTCTTCCCTGCAAAAATTGAGATTACAGTGGTTGGCTTATCTAGTGCACCACGTCCCTCCCCTTTGTTATAAAAGCATCAGAACTTTTTTCTCGTAGTTAATTTGCTAGTACTACTCGACTGCTCTCTGTGACAAATGATTGTTAGCTTGTGCTTAAGGATTGCGTCAAAAACCACACACGCGCAATCTTGACCTCGTTTAACAATCAGAACAGGCTGCGAGGCTCCCCTCGAGGTTGATAGGGTGCTTAAATCTCCGCGTCTGTTCACAATCCACCATAAAAATATAGTGTTTTGTCGTCCGCGATTGGTGAGTGACTCACATATCATATATTAATCGCACGACTAAGTAGTATTTCTCGTTAGATCGCTTTTGAACTTCATGCTAAAGATGTGCTTCCATCGGAACATCGGAACAGGCCGACGATATGTAAACATCTTTTTTGCTCGGGTCATTTGCTTTTCAGCCATCTTTTTGACTATTGACCACAGCTCGCTGTACGCGTATCCTCGCATCTCTTTGATTTTTTTCTAATGTAGGATAAATAATACTATTTTCAATTTACGATAATGTATCTAGACAGTTTTCGATGACGAAGAATGCTATATAATTTGAGTGAAACGATCCGACCCGTGTGGATAAGCGACGCGCATGCGCGTCACACGCTATAGCCAATTTGTTAACGTGGACCAGCTTGGCGCCTTCAACCCACGTGTGGGCACTAGGACTTTGTTCCTTTGCAGTGCAGAGTTTTTTGCTGCGCGGTATCTCACGTACCTCTCTCGCGATCAGAGTGGACCTTAGGTCTCAAAACGGCAGGCAGTTTCATGCTGCGTAAAGCTGAAATATTGCTCTTCGTCCTACCGATCCTTCCCTCTTGAACCATGAGTCAAGCCGCAGCAGTTTGTAACAAGGCGAAGTATTGCAAGAACACGTTAAAAAAACATGCCCCAAGATCACATTGGTGTGGCTCTTGCACACGAATTCGAATTCGAGTTAGTGCGAAATGGGCGAGTAAAAAAAAGGAAAAGAATCTGTCGAAAACGTCTAGGTTAAGGGCTCACTGCGCCTTCGTAATCGGCTGTGCTAAGGGAGTGAGAGACTATGATTAGAGGAGAGTAGTAGACGAGGGAGCGCAGCAGATGAGAGAGCGCCAGACATTAGCCTGATGAGAGAAAAAAATCTGCAGCTTCAGTGGCTTACTTTGCGTCGTGAACGAACGCCACATTTGTGATTGTTCTCTAGAGGTGTATACTACCGAAGGGAAGCGTTCACATGAACTCTGCTTGGGTTGTGCCTTTAAATGGAAATTTACTGGATCTTATTGCCAAGCACATGTCGTAGACGAATGTTCGAGGCATTATCGCAAATTTCTTTCCATCATGGGTCAAATTCGACAGCGCTGGCGCCTCTTATGAGAGCATTGAACTTGCGCTTACGTAGCGGCGCGTGCTTCTCGCACAAATTCGGAAAGCATTTGTTTTTTCCTGCTTGTGTGAACTTCATGAGGGTAACTGTAAATGATTTTGTCTAATTGACGCTGTTGCTGAATGGTGAAAAATGGTGACAAATTTTGCTACCACTTATTCCAGATTTTCACTCTCGAAAGTCACGTCATAAAGCACTCCACTCCTCAGAAGTTCGTGTTTAATTACAGAAGCTCTATTCTTGCTTTAATACCCGGCTACTTGAACCTGGGTCGTCTCGTTATTGTTTAGAATAGAGGTTTAAATGGCACGATTCTGGGCTTTAGAAGTCACTTTCTCTTATGGGAAAGTTATATCCAACACCCTCCGTCCACTTCCTTTTTCTCACTAATCTTGAGCTCGTTTTTCTCCTGAAAGCTCCTTTACTCATCAACTTGCTGATAAACCTCCGCTTTTTGTGCCTGCACTGTTATGCTTGCTTGGTCATTGTTTTCTGTGTCACGTTGCATTGTTGAATTTCGGTTCCATTTCTTGCTGTTGCGGCCATTTTTCAGTGATTAGTCTTATTTTGTTTTGTAGGCGTTGTATGTCGGAAGGGCCGAGCCAGCGGCTGAGAAGTCGTCCTCGTGGTCGCGGCGAGAGCTTTTCCATATCGAGGGGCGACTCGTCTCCATTCGGGGCACATCGACTTCTGCGGAAATCTGCTACGTCATCGTTGACGAATGAGTGTGTAACAAATGTTGAACCAGTTCTTCTCACTCAACGATGGACAGTATGTTTCTCTCCTACAATTCTTTTCGAGCGTTTTTGCAAAAGAGGTATTTGGCGAGCGGAGATTATGGGATGTTGGCGCAGTAGTGCAGTTTCATAGGACGTGCTCGGTGTTATTGCTCAGCCGATCTCCTGTTAAGGGGAGGAGAGTGGGCGAGGGTGCAAAAATTTTCGAATATTTCGGAAAATGATTGACAGACTTGTCTTTTTTCCGCTTAGTAGAGGTGTCAGATGTGATCAGTGGAATCTGTGACTTCTTAGTCAGTTTGAGGCTTCTGAATTTGCTTATCTAAATGTTCTTTTTCCTTCTTCGTTATTGGAACTTCTCCTATAAAAGCATTCCTTCCTCCTGATTCAGGTTCGGATTCCATGAGGTGCTCTAGCAATCGAACAAAGGAGAGGACGTAGGGTGTAGAGTCTGGTGGGAAATTATCGTGAAGGGGATCGCAAAGGCGTGTGAAGCAGGTTTTGAGAGGGGAAATTAGGAAGGGGATGCATTGATGCATATTGGAGAGTTGGGTAGAGGAGGGTAAAAAGAATTTTTTCTACGAAGCATGCAGGGAAAAAAATGAATCAAATTTTGTATCAGTGGCTATGTATTAGTAATGGGGTTCTCGAAAGGATTGAGGGTGTAAGTAAATGAGGTGAGCCTCGCAAGGTTTCGAGCAGTAGCATTGGGTTCGTTGCCGGCAAAGTGCTGGCCTGATTATCAGAGTTCTAGAATGATGGTGTCATGGAGCGAATGGCGATAATTATATAAACTCGAATGTAGGCGTACATGCCTGAAACTAGGGTTGGCGAACTTTTCTGTTCTTAGCTTTTATCAGCGTGAAATTCCAGACCATGTCAATGGTTTCTTTGATGTCCCCTATTTAAAAGAATTGTGATTTTGATTGAAGCATTATTCCTCGCTTATCCCTTTTTGCAGTTTGCTTAATTTCCTTGAGTTGTACAGTTGTCTGAAAAGTTCTATTTAGCTTTACGTCACACGGGACCTCTGCATAAAATTTGGTTTCTTGGAGTTTCAAAGCTCACACTTATCTATTTTGCCCTATGCATATATTGTAGATGGAGGCTCAGTATATTGATGTTTGCCATTTAGGTAAACAATTTCTCGTCATTATTGAAGTTGTCCCAGCCTGGCTTGTGGCCTCCCCGAAAGCAGTGTATTCAAGTGAGTTCTAGGTATCTTATTTTAATAAGAAACAGAACAGTGTGGCGCCAGTGCAGAATAAGTGTGCGATTGGCGGTATGATAGTAGTTTAACACATTGTGGACCACCATTATTATTTTTGCACCTCCGTAAATCTTTGTCGCTTGTCTTTTCAGTAATCAATAATCTAACATAGTTTTACTAGTATCCGAATTCTGATAATTTTCGTGCTGGAAAAAGCTTACTGTGTTATAGAAAGTATGGTAATAAGTCAAAGTAACTATCTTTTTTTGGTGTGGTGGGCGAGCACGGTCAGCCATGAGTTATATTGAAAAAAAATAATAAAACCAAGCCAATTCGCATCAGCTGCGACAATACCCTACAGGCGATGTGGCTCCAAGCTTTATCGTTTCTGTTGTGCTCTTACCGTAATCCCCTTCGGCCTTGCTTATGCAAGCTCTGATTACTTTCTCATTTACTTTGACACCAACATGAAGAAATTATTTGGAGAAGTAGTTCGTCCAACACGAATTTTGCTCTTTTTATTGATAATCCACTTCAGGGATCCCACCATGCCCGACGCATGCTGGCAACTTTGCCTCTATCCTGGTGGAAAGAGGCCTGAAAATGCTAACAATGTGTCGTTGTTCTTGAAGATGTCTGCCACTTCTCCACTAAAGGAGGTATGTTTACTTATTGTGCGTAAATTAGCGACCATTTCTGCATGGGTTAGATCTTTCAATTTGTTAGAAGGGTTGATGAGAGGGAAGCATTCTATAAGGGCTTTTGTTCATTTGCTTGCAAAACAAGGTTCACGCCTCACTTTGCATTTGCGAAAGCTTTTTAATTTCATGGCGACTTCAATCAAATTCGCTTATGTTTTTTAGGGCAGTGCTGTTAGTCTGCAGTAGATTCATGTTTCATAATAAGCTTAATTATATAAAGCTTTATAATTTTCAGGTTGTCGTAAAAGCCGAGTACCGTTTCTTTTTTCTGGACGAAGACGATGAGATAAAATTTAGTAATGTTAACATTGGTGATTTCCACGCGAAGCCACCGAAAGGAGGGCACTCATGGGGTTTACGCAATATTCCACGACAACAGGTTCATATCTCCATTTGTTCTTTTCCATTTTACAGAATAGTCGATTTTGAAGGCAATTTGGACTTGTGTGAATCATATATTACACTTATAGCCCGTTTAAAATATACTGTTTTGTGCTTCATTATATTTTTTCCTTTTTCTATTTACTCGTATTCTTTAAGGTTCAAAACAGTATACGTGCTGATCACTCATTGGTGATATCGTGTACCATTGAGCTCCTACCAGACGCTGGTCGAATTCCATGGCAGACGGGTCGAACCAGGCGCTCTTGTTATCACTGATATGGCCGAAGTGTCACGGGTCCACATGCAGAATGGTGGGATCCGATTCTTTGAAATTGCTTGCCTTCTTGAATAATCTCCGAAAAATTCTTATTTTTTCTGTTGCTGAAAACAGCTGCATAATTTTGGTAGCAAAAGAATATTTAGTTGTCATATTGCGTTTTCCATGTATGGGAAGCTGAAATTTCATAAATTTATCATTAAGAATTTATTTTGCAGAACTTGCTATGTTCTCCGGTGGCGATTGTGCTCCATATTCGGATCTGAGTATAGCTGTGGGACCCGAAGAGGATCGGGTCGTGTTTGCGGTGCACAAATACAAGCTTATAACACATTCGGATGTCTTTCGTGCTATGCTAGAACACAATATGGAGGAAAGCAAGGTAACATCCCATGCTTCACCAATTCGTTATGAACCAGGAAGCGCACTTCCCTCTAAATCGTGGGAAGTCCAGATATCGTTCTCCTGAAATTTGAAATTGTCTGGGCCACACAGAGTTTTGAACTTATTAGAAGCATTTTTAAGTGCAAATACTAGACGCGTTCGTGATTCGTTGAGTAATTACTGTTATATGCGGTTAGGTGGTCAGCTCTGGCATATATGTATCGATTTCCCGTTGCTGTCAGCGCTTTCGTGTTTGGTGAAAAAAGAACGTGTAGTAGCCACCATTTAGGTTAATCTCGCTCGAAGTTTCTTTTGAGCTCTTTAGACCAAGCTTTAGCTACCGTTCTAGTGCTAGTCATTGTCCGAAGTTTCAGGAAGTCTAGTGACATGGTGGAGAGTTGTTAAGGCAGGTTACCTTGAGCGATCAGGGGTCGGGTGCAACAAGCCCCGACGAGGGGATAGGTAACCCATCCTCTTCTCCCAAAGGGTTGGGGATACATCCCCCGAAGGTTGCTCAAGGTTTGGAGGATACATCCCAAGGTTAGGATGTTTCCCCCCCCCCCCCCCCCCCCCCCCCCCCCCCCCCCCCCCCCCCCCCCCCCCCCCCCCCCCCCCCCCCCCCGGGAACATATCCCCTCCCTCACCCGCTGAGGGGACTTATCCCCCACCTTGGGGAGAGGGGATGGGTACCCATCCCCTCGTCGGGGCTTGCTGAACCCGGCCCCAGAAAGCTCAATAGAGTGGAAGGACACATTTTGAATTAAACTCTTAATTTGTTCAGCGATCTTAGGTCGTAGAAAAAGCTCACTTTGTCAAGCGACATCCATGGCTAATGAATGGATTTCAGACGAATATGATTATAATAGAGGAATTCTCGCCGACAGCCGTGAAGATAATGTTGATTTTCTTGTATACCGGTTCAGTATGTCCTCAGGAGTTGGAATTAGAAGTAGGTCATAAGGATCTATTACAGTAGAATTTTCATTATAATCAAAATTCACTTCCTGTTGACACTTTCTTCAAATTTATTTGTTGAATTAGTCCCATGTCGGTTTTTTAAAACCTCCATGTTCAGGATGCGTTCGACGTGATGCAATTAGCAGAGAAATACAATATTCCCGCCCTCAAAACCATGTGTGAGCAGGATCTCATTTCGAGGTAATGAAACCTGCTTGTTTTTTATGCCTATGAATCAATGATGAATAGTAGGTAACCATCGAGAAGATACTATTTACTGTTTCTAATTTTTTCGTACTTGTCTTAGAAAGTTTATTTTTGTTTCAAGGGAGAAGATCTCCTCACTGTGACTCTTTTTCTTCAAAGACAAATATTATATTTGGCTTTGTGCCAATGCTTTTATACATTTCTTGAATGGGCCTGAGATGTTATTCCTTGTTACTAAAGAGCAGTCCTATGAGTGCTCTTTCACTAGGTATAGAATATGTCACTCGTTATGGGCCAGTGACTCATTTGAAGCGGTATTTTGGTAAGGGCCGGTTGAGCCTCTCACCCCATCCACACCTGATGGCTTGGCTTGTCTCTCTTCCCACTTGGCTGCTCTCAGAATATCCGATACTTGCAGCTGCTCATCCACCCTCGACCTCCTCCGCCCCTAAACTTAGCCAAGGGTGTCCATATCTCTGGTTCAGGACCAGTTAAGATGGAAATGTGGGAGCACCTCAGAAGCAGTTATACACAAATATTTACCGTGAATCATTTTGCCGTCTCAAGTATACACAACAGTAATTATTCATCTCGAGTATCTGCAGTAGAAAGGTGCTTTTCTGGAAAGCACACAACATGCTGAATAATATATGATAGCCTATTCCATAGCAACTACTACGTGCTGCGCAGGCACTCAGAAGCTCAAAGGGGCGTAATTCACCCCTTATGCTCAAAACCTCTCCAAACTGACTATGAGTTCACCGTACATTTTATTTTGACTCGTTCAAGAAAAGGCTGGATATAAAGCGTCAAATCAGAAAATGGGGGCTGGATTCCTTCGAGAAGCTGTTCTAGTCATTTATAATCGGAGTGCTTGCTAATAAGGAATTGACCTCAAAAATGTGGTTTGAGATGTGATTGAAACTTCAAAGCACTGTTTTTTTTCTGCATACTCAGTGGTTCCAATTCAGGGTCTGCGCTGCAAACGTCATTGATTGTATGGTGTTGGCAGACTTTCACCAGGCTAGTCATCTGTATGAGCACTGCATCGATTTTGTAAGTCATCCATGAGCAGCCGTTTAGATTTTATTTACATGTTTTTTTTTTAAATTTCCTTTGGATTTCCGTTTGCGCTTTCACCTACTTGAGGGCTTGAATCTTATTCTGATGCTGGTGGGAGAAATGAGTAAATTGACTGCTCCGGCACTGCTTTCCTTCATTCAACAAATTCTGAGATTTTTCGTTTCTCCCCTTCATCTCACTATGTCATTCCCTTTCTTTGTGTTTGTTTCACGAAAAATGTCTCTTCTCTGGCAGTCTTTTTCTAGTTTCGCCCCTCCAGATCTCCTACACTCTTTCTATTCTTCTAATGCTATCGAGATTGCTATGATTCTCCAGCATTTGTTTTTTTTTATATGTATCAATCTATTCCACAGCTTCCGCTATGCAGCCTGCTCTTCCTTCATTGCCCCGTTTTGATCGCACACAAGCTCTAATGTATGCTATTCTAAGTCCACAAAGCCTGTAGTTTCTGCCAGCATCTACCATCTACCCTGTGAAAATATACTATTGGAGCAGCTTGTAAGGCGATTTGCAATCAAGGCAGGCTTCTGAGCTTAATTTTTTTGCTTCGCAACTCCTAGCAAATGATTTTACAACCATTTTGACTTTGGATCGCGCGAAATTATGGTTCTGCGTAAGCCACGCTACGACCGTGCAGATTATTTCCAAGTGTTGTGGTCACTACTCATTTTGTAACTCTGTTTTTGATTCGTTCCGACTCTGTGTTTTTGTAATTATCCACTAATATTAATCTATGTAATACTCTGTTATTAAGATGAATGCGAATAGATGCGATACGCTAAACACGGAATCGTGGTCAGCGTTGAAGGATCGAAATCCGAGACTCAGCAGCTCAATAATGGAGCGCATGATCCGTTCAGATCACAGTAACTCGCCACCTGTAAAGAAAAGCAGATTATAGTTATCAAATTTAGGTGTTCTAAAATTGTATGCAATATGTGTTCCAGTTTCAAAACTGTTATGGTGCTTTTTTCTCGCAACAATTGAAGAGTTCTGTCATATTCAAAGTGGTAATTCGATCCAAATATTCGTTTTATATAGGTAAGATGTAAGAAAATTGTCGAAGAATTCGTCACTATCGCGCTACTTGTATACACCGCGGATTTCATGTAGACTTCAATCATTCATTATTTCCTGCCTCATTGCGCTCTCTGTTGCAGTAAAATGATTTACTGTAGAGGGTTAGGGTCGGTGATGTTAACGGGTGTGAATGTATTGTGTATATTGCTTCATAACTAGTTCGCAACCTTTGTATCCTAATATGTTCGATTTTTCTGAGGTGTTGGCTCTCAGTATCGAACCAAATTCGCATACTATGGAACCAAAATGGATGTGTAATGGATTGTTTTTTCATTTCCTGCTTGCAATCTTAACATAGTCTTATTTGATGTTTCTTCTTTGCTAACCCGTTTTCGCCACCGCTAATTGTGGATTTCGCCGCGCATGGGCAGTGTAGTAGCTTTAGGCACGACGATTGCAATGTGATGATTTGCCTTTCGCCGAAAGCAATTGATATTTCCTATTGAAATGTATGTACAATGTGCGCCTATTTGAGTGTGTTTGTTTCTGATCATTGAAATAAATATATTTTCATTTGGAAGACTCTTAATGCTGACTGGTTTGCGGTACCTTATTTCTACTTATTGAGTTCGCTAAAGAGTGAAGTATGCCCTTCTAAATGTGTCGCTCTAGTAGGAAATATTGTCCAGCAACGATGGGGCGCATGGACGTGGAGAAACTGCGGTATCTCGAGAGAGAAGACTTTCGAGTGCTGATCGCTGTAAGATCTATAATAACTATTTTTATTTTTTGTCATGGAATTTACTGGAAAGAAGTTACGGACTCTGGAACCAGCCTGGGACCGTATGCAGTCGTTTTTGGTCAGGTTTTTGTTTGCCAAGCAAACAACGGCAAACTCAAAGCTGGGCACTTCACAGCAAATAGCCGAAGTGTGACTGTGTTCAGGGAATAGTGGTACATATTAGAAGTTATGATCGAAAAATTATCAGGGGAAAGGGGCAGAGTACTGCTTTCAAAGGCATCGCGATAATTATGGACGAGGCATGGCGCGAACCCATTTCGTGGTTGCTTGGCGTCCGTCTTGAAGTGGGCTGCTTCTCTTGATTCTTCAAAAGATTTCTGTTTAAGCTCATCGTTCACTGCTATCGCAACAAAATTTTTTATGTCTTGAAGTCTCGTGATCTTTCATTGGAATGGGGAAAGTAGCCAAAGTGGCCGCTTCCTACACCGCTTGCTCATTTCTCAATTACCCTAGAATCCCATAGGACTGTTTTCGATATAATATTTTGTTTTCTGAAATATAAAACAAGACATTATAACGGGCAGAATAGCGACACTCTTCTACCTGAAGCTTTGAATAGGTGACATAAATGCGTCTTCTGCAAAAATATGAGGGGATCCTAGGGCATTTTAAGGCAATTTATATGTGCTCGCTTTGTGATCGCCTTTTGCATGAATATTTTATAACTGATTTCGGCGTGGTAAAAGTTCGCAGTAAAATCAAATTGCCAGTTTATAACTGACGCGATAATCCACGGTTTTCTTTTTGTCAATTGAAAGAACCCTTTTTGTACGGGTCGACCTTATAAATCAGGTTTATTTGAAAGGCAAGCATATCATAACTTTCTTAGGGTAAATGTCGTAAACGGGGCAGATGCCAGGTTTCATGATCAGTCGGCCAATTTCAGGTCGAGATGGGAATGAAGAATCACGAAGTTGTTCCTTTACCGCTGATTTCGGCGATAGCAGGGATACATCGAGGAGCTGTTGCGCGGATTCTCTCTACTCTTTGTAAACATTCTCTGGTTGCGTTTGAGAGGAGCAAAAAGTGTTCGTTTTTGCTTGCTTTTCTTTGTTCCCACTCCTACTACTCTCCTACAGGTTCTAGGGGACCGAAGGCTTGAATGGGCAAGGTATATCGCAGTGTTTGGAAAGTTTGCTCACAATCGCAAAGCATTTAGCTAGACGTTGTTGACGTTGTTGGGAATGATACCTAATTGAATCCTGCCTTTGCTGCAAAGAGAGACAACTATGGTGATCTCAGCAATTCACGATTCCCTAGATTTGTTGTGGTTAGCCTAATCGCATAGTTTCCTAGCAGTAACAAAAGTTGCTGTCAATAATCAGGAACAATATCTTATGCAAGGCCCCAGTCTGACAAGTCCTGTAGATCTCAGGAGCAAAAAAATCCATCAAATGCAATTCTTCAGTACTTATTCTGTACTGATTGGTCATGTTTAGTTGATGGATACCGTCTTACCGTACTCGGTTACGATTTTCTTGCTCTAAAAGCATTGTGCACTCGCGGCGTTGTGGGCAGTGTAGGTAATCCAGATTGGAGTCGGAAAGGAATCGGACGTTTATGTTGGTGGTGACCCCGAGAGAAATGTACGTTTGTCAAATATCTGTTGATTTTATAAGAATGATCAATTGAGATATTACATGCGTTAAGGATCTGTGTTTGAAATTTCATCGACTTGGTCGGACATCTTTTCGTAAAATCAAGGAGAAACGAGATTATCACAAGAAACGTCATTCGGCCTCTTGGCTTTACCTTGGCAGGCTTGCCGCCACAAGGTAGAGCTTATGAGTTTCCACTATTATGGTACAACAATTGCTCGTTTTTGGTAGTTAGTAATTCCCATTTGCAGCTTATGAAGAACTCTTACTAATTTCAGCGTGCCGAACAAAGTACAGTATTTCAGGAGTATGCGTTCTTGAAAGCCCTCGCAGACCGTGGATTTCCTGTTCCGCGACCAGTGGACGTTTGTCGCCATCTGGTAGTTATGGGTCTCATTGAAGGACGTACTCTTTGCCATGTCGATCACGTAGAGGATGTTGGCACATTGTATGACAGGTGAGAAAGCTTACATATCTACTTGTAAGTTCACCGACACGAATAGACTTTAATTCGTAAAAAAACTATTCGTCTTAGTTATCGGTGTGAGATTTGTTGTGCAGCTCATAAATAAACCTTCGAACACATCTCAGCGTTGATAACTTTCCAATTTCACAACCCTATCCTTCCTGATGATGTCAGTAGTATTTTTCGTTAGGCTGCTGCTATAATTTTGTAAATAAAATTCAGTTGAACGGACCCTGCGACTGCGCGGGAATAACGCTGGGGAGAGAAGGAATACAA